TAGGAAGACATAAGAGGTAGGGGAGGCATGATTACCACATACAAAATTCTCAGAGGAATGGGCAGGATAGATAAAAAGTTTATTTAACACCTGGGGCACATTCACAAGAGGGCACAGATGGAAACTGAGTACCGAAATGAGTCACAGACATTAGAAAGAATTTTTTGTGTCGGAGTAGTTGACAAATGGAATGTACTAGGCAGTGCTGTGATGGACCGACTCCATACACAGTTTCAAATGTAGATATGATAGAGCCGAACAGGCTCAGGAATCTGTACACCAGCTGATTGATGGTTGAGAGGCGGGACCAAAGAGCCAAAGCTCAACCCCCGCAAGCACAATTAGGTGAGTATATACACACACACACATCCTCAGGACGCAGCCCGCGACAGCTGACTAATCCCCATGTACCAATTTACTGCCAGATGAAGAGAGGCATAAGATAAACAAAATTCTGCTCATTCCTTAAAACTCTTATTCCCCTCCTCTAGGCATTGTTAACCCCACCTCCCCAACACGCTTCCTTCACCCCCTCGTCTCAACCTCACTTCTCCAACCTCATCCGTATCTCCCCCTCTCCAACCCCCCCCCCCTCACCTCACCCATCATTTCTATTGGCAGACGGACGCTCCGGCTCCACCAATTCCTCTTGACCAATATTCCGTCTGTGGCCCGGACCCGTGCTGACGGTGGCTCCTCCTGGGCACCCGAGTATTCACCTTGTTGTGCTTGCGGGGGTTGAGCTCTGGCTCTTTCGGCCCGCCTCTCAACTGACAATCAATCAACTGTTACTAACTACAGGTACTAATTTTTTTTCTTCACACACATACAGGAAGCAGCCCGTAGCAGCTGACTAACTCCCAGGTAGCTATTTACTGCTAGGTAACAGGGGCATAGGGTGAAAGAAACTCTGCCCATCGTTTCTCGCCGGCGCCCGGGACCACAGGATCACGTGTCCAGAGTGCTGTCCGCTCGGCCACGTGTGTGTGTACTCACCTATTTGTACTCACCTATTTGTGCTTGCGGGGGTTGAGCTTTGGCTCTTTGGTCCCGCCTCTCAACCGTCAATCAACTGGTGTACAGATTCCTGAGCCTACTGGGCTCTATCATATCTACATTTAAAACTGTGTATGGAGTCAGCCTCCACCACATCACTGCCTAATGCATTCTATCCGTTAACTACTCTGACACTGAAAAAGTTCCTTCTAACGTCTCTGTGGCTCATGTGAGTACTCAGTTTCCACCTGTGTCCCCTTGTTCGCGTCCCACCAGTGTTGAATAGTTTATCCTTGTTTACCCGGTCGATTCCTCTGAGGATTTTGTTGGTTGTGATCATGTCTCCCCTTACTCTTCTGTCTTCCAGTGTCGTAAGGTGTGTGTGTGTGTGTGTGTGTGTGTGTGTGTGTGTGTGTGTGTGTGTGTGTGTGTGTGTGTGTGTGTGTGTGTGTGTGTGTGTGTGTGTGTGTGTGTGTGTGTGTGTGTGTGTGTGTGTGTGTGTGTGTAAACCGACTGGCGGGTTGTGTTCCAGGGAAAATTTAGTAGGGTGAGGCTTACCATGAGCTATGGGAAAGGAAAGCTCTCAGCCTCCTAAAAGGCGTCATAATTCAGTTCCTGTACCCACCTGTGAATACAAAAATAAATAACAAAATAATAAAAAAAAAACACAGGGAAAAACGTAAATAAACATAGAATGAAAAACTTGCATGAAAACATATGTTCAAGCTTGATTAAATTACGAATCATTTACATAACATCATAAATGAAAACGAGACAATTACCTGCTCCTGAAGATCTGTTTAACTAGTGTGTAAAGACTGTTGTGAACACAACAGTCTTTTGTTAAATTTTGTGGATATATTCGCGCGAAAACACAATCTTTAAATTTTGTGCATTTTCTTCGAGGGACGAAGAGTTAGTTTGCTAGGCTAAGCGAGTCCTTCCTCTCTCCCAGTGGGCACCTCACTTCTGATGCCTCTTGGCAATTTTACACGTATTCTAATACATAAAATACCCTCAATAAATAATAAAATCAGTCTTCGTCACTTTTGCCAAAGTATAATTATATATCTGAATTTGAATCTAGAAATATTTAGTATAAAATAATAACTTATTATGCTATTATTTTCCTTTTAAGGGGAATCATCCTGTAATTTTGTGTAAACCAAATTATAAGCATGCAAATAATTGTTATAAATTATAAACACATACAAATAAAGTGTTTGAATTTGGAATATATTAAAACAAACGCCATCAATGTCCACAACAGCCTCACCGTCGCGTGTAAACTTTAAAACGAGATCACTAACGGGCTCACCATAGCCCGTGCTACTTGGAACTTTTGGTTCCAGGTAGCGAATCTTAAACAACAACAACAACTTTAAAAACAAATGAGAAACTCCATTAACCACTTATAAAATGCGAGCCTGTTTATGCAACCAACATTATGACCTAGTAAAAGTTTTCCCCGACCCTCCGACAGCCAATTACAATATTCTAAACCAGCGCTGCGGCGGATATTAGAATATTCCGAGGCAATACATCCCAGGAGCCAGATTCACGAAAGCACTTACGCAAGCACTTACGATCGTGTACATCTTTCCTCAATCTCCGACGGCTTTGATTACATTTATTAAACGGTTTACAAGCATGAAAACTTGCCAATCAACTGTTGTTATTGTTATAAACAGCCTCCTGGTGCTTCGGCGCTCATTAACTGTTTAATAATTGTAAACAAAGCCGCCAAAGATTGAGAAAAGATGTACAGGTTCGTAAGTGCTTGCGTAAGCGCTTTCGTGAATCTGGCCCCAGATTTTACCGCCAAGTGGAGAGATGGGCAGGGAATTTTTTTATTTTTTTGAAGTTGTGTAGTACAACAGGAGCCACTGTCTGCAGGGGTAAGCGAGGTTGATATTTTCCGAATATAAAATACGTTATCGACCCAAGCGTAGTAAGAGGTTAGCATTATATTACGCCGCGTCATTTATCACTCAAGATATTACCGAGGGAAATTTAATGACAGATGATGACGTACGGAACATCTGGCCGGCTAAAAGATGCCTTACGGAACACCTGGCTGACTGAGATGGCTTATGGAGCATCTGGCTGGCTGAGATGGCTTACGAAACATCTGGCTGGCTGAGATATGAGTCTTTGAGCACGATTTGACATTTAGTTCCGTAAATGATGGGTTTATAACCCTATGGGTGAAATAGCATCTCCTGTGCTCAGTTCTACATTGTGGCTGAGAATAGATTTTTTTTTTGCAAGGATATTCCTGCGCGGGCCCTAAGCCTCTGGCTGGCCCACTAAGTGTTGCTTGTTTCTGTTTTACTTGGGCGGAGTATGAGTATTTATGACTCGTATGGTCGCTTCAGTAAGATTATGCCCCATGTGTTTAACAGCTTCTGCTCTGTTGAATCTAAGTTGAAATCTTTTTTGGGTTTTGTAACAATGCACTGTGTTAGATAATGTTCCAGTGGTCTATCGGGCATTTCTCCACAGTGCTGACATTTCCCCTCATCTTCTGGAACTTGTAAGGTTATTTCCCATGCACATGGGTATCCAAGCCTGATGCCTTACCGTGAGGTGTTTTCGGGGCTTAGCAACCCCGCGGCCCGGTCCTCGACCAGGCCTCCTGGTTGCTGGATTGGTCAACCAGGCTGTTGGACGCGGCTGCTCGCAGCTTGAAGTATGAGTCACAGCCTGGTTGATCAGGTATCCTCTGGAGTCTTTGGAGTACACTTGCGATGCAGGTGTACTTCTGATGTTCTACTGCTCCCTTTCACCAAAATAAGTAGTTCGTAGTTGGTTGAATTCTTGTACCAACCCGCAGATCCTAATGTTGCAACTGCTGCGTTGTGGTCACTATAAATCTAGTGCATTGAACAGGAGAGGCTTTCACCTCACAGGGTTATAAACCCGTGGAACCGCCTACCCACTTATAACATTCATAACACCTATATATAACATATAGGCTTCGTTATAGACCCACAATCCAAGGGAAAAGGGGAGACAGAAATGGTTGGGTACGGCTCCTTCCACCTAATGCCTCTGTTCACCTAGCAATAGATAGATACCCGGGAGGTAGACAACCGTTGCAGACTTGCAGCCTGGGGATGGTCAGTAGTTCCACCTTGGCGAACCTAGATACAAGCCTAAAGCACAAAAAAATATATATGCAGTCTTCCTGTCCCCGACATAACGAATCCAGAGTGTTGCTAGGTGATGCAACACCCACCCATACTCAAACCAAATGCATCCGCATTTGTACGCTCGAATTTTTGCATACAAACTAAATACTAATTAATGTAAACACAAGCATTGGAAACTGAATCATTTTAGGGCTAACGAGAAGAAGCACCAAATAAACTAACGGTATTGAAGATAATATATCTCCCGTGTAAGGGCTTTATCAAATCTTGAGAGATTAGCCTGAGTACTTGCTTATACGTGGAGAAAGAAGGTTAAGGTCAGGCCTAGCTGACACCGATCTCAATAGACTGGTTGGCAAGACAATGTTGTTTGGTATGGTAAATTATTATCGATTCTCACATCTCGGAAAATGGGTTAAGAAACTGCCTAATTGGTAAACTATTGCATTTTAGTATCACATTTTTTTGTACGGTACTATTGGTAATTGTCAAATATTTTTGGGACTGTTGTTTTATGTTTCGTTTCTAATATGGGTTCAAACAGTCTTGTCGGACTAACAAAAGTGTATTTGTACTTAACAAAAGTTGATCACTTCACAAACACAGCAGGGTAGGCCTATAAGTTAATCAAATCAATTTCAAAACTGTATTCGAAATTAATGAACATTTATAATTGAGTTTACCCACAATTTTAAGAGCGTGTATACAGTTTATTCGGGGTAAAAGTACTGTATTAGGCTTGCAGGATATACAGACTTTGGATCGGTAATTCTGGCATACAAACTTTAAAACTTTGCCAAATACCAGGATATATACACCGAAAAACAGCATTTTTCCATTGTATATATTAATATCCAGTTAGAAACAGCCACTGTAAAGGTTGACAAGGTGCCTTTGTAAAAGATACCATTTGCTCGGGTTTAGGCTACCAAGAGAGTGTTACAAAACAAAAATCATGATGTCAACCATTTCACCACGACAATCTCAAGTGTGCACGCTGACCTACTAACACTGAGACAACTTATCCCTAATCTTCAGTCAATGACCTAAATGATGAAGCGTAAGGGCAGAAATGTGTAACAAATCGTTATCTAATCGGTTGATTTGGCGTCCCACTTCCTGAGAAAATCATGTCGCTTGCTGGCGCAGACTTGCAGAGTGGATTGAGTATATCATCCAGCAGGCGGCGACGACGGTGGGACCTTCTACTGCCTCTCCAGTGGACTAGGCCTGATATAAAAAAATACCCACAGGTAGGCGGTTTTCTTATGGGTGGGGGGGGAGATATTGCTGTATATTCAACCCGTCCTTCTAATAGAACGTTGCATTTTGACGTATACTCTACCCAAGGCCAAAAATTTTTTGTACTTACAACCAGAGTTGCACTTAGTACCAGAGCTTACTATGAAGCTCTGGCACTTTTTCTCGTACTAAAGCAAATCTTCGCTACACTATCCCCGTGCAGTGCTCTTCGCTTTATGAATCTGATTTGATTTGGACGAGCCCAAGAGCTATATATATATATATACCCCGCTACTCAGTGTATATGGTACCTCAGTTACATTATATTTACCTGCTGTTGTGGTGGTATGAATAACCCTCCAGTGGTTGATAGCCTTAAGGCCCTCACTGTGGAAACGCCACAAGGATATTTATATACGAGACATGTAACTAATCTCTCGGTGTAAATACAATAAGAGTTTACTGTAGTTTCTACAGGTGCACAGGTGACTGCTGGTTGGCCAGTAAGCCATCATTGTGGGCTTCGTTAGTTTAGTTCATTTATTATGCACCCCATACCCATCTTGTGGGCGGTAGTGCAAAGGGTTACAGAGGCACATAATGGGCTCAGGGCTTCGTAAAACCTTCCCGCAGTTGATGGGTCTTGGGCCAACACCAAACCCCCTCAAAAAATCCCAACAAATATACTCTTTAATAAATCACGTACAAGAAAAAATATATAGTACAAGAATGTGAAAGTAACGAAAATATGATGCAATGAATAATATAGCATCACCACGAAGGAATATTAAACTTTATACACCTGAACATCCCGTGTACCTTATTTCTTTACAGAGACAACATAACCTGGGGTGCAAGTGCAATACGTGCACCACGAACGTCCAGTGCCACAGAGAGCGACAGCTGTAGCAACTTTTACTGCGCAGACTTGGGCGTGAGAGACTATATAGCGACGACTGCTGCCACTGAGGGATACTTTCCTCCGCATGGCCACAATGCTTGAGTGGCGGAGAGGACAGACTGAACCATATCAGTTACGAGTAAGTCTGAGTGCTCGCTTTGTCCCTTCTCTCTCTATCACACACACACACACACACACACACACACACACACACACACACACACACACACACACACACACACGGAAAGATTGACTGGGAGAACAAGGAACCGCATGGAGGCGAGGATACGTGGAGAGCCAAACTATTGGAGGTGGTGACAAGCAACTTTTTAACCCAGCATGTCGGAGAACCCACAAGGATGAGAGGCAATGACGAACCAGCGAGACTCGACCTAGTCTTCACTCTGAACGACTCCGACATAAGAGAAATCGGTTTTGAGGACCCAGTAGGAATGAGCGACCACAGTGTACTGGTGTTTGAGTACTTGATTGAAGAAGGGTTATTGAACTCGAGGAGGGATACCGAAACCAAAAGGTTAGCATACCGAAAGGGAAACTATGAGGGGATAAGAAAATTCCTAACAGATATAGCATGGGAAACAGAGCTCAGGGGAAAGACGGCCCAAGATATGATGGATTACATCACGCAGAAGTGCAAGGACGCAGCGAACAAGTTTGTCCCAGTCCAAAAGGAAAACAGAGAAATGAAGATGAGAAACCCATGGTTTAATCAAAGATGTAGGCTAGCTAAGCAGCAAAGTAAAAGGGCATGGAGAAACTATAGGAATAACAGGACACTGGAGAGCAGAGAAAGATACCAGAATGCCAGGAATGAATATGTCAGGATGAGAAGAGAGGCAGAAAGACAATACGAAAATGACATCGCAAGCAAGGCAAAGACTCAGCCTAAATTGTTGCATAGCCACATTAGGAGAAAAACAACAGTAAAGGAACAGGTTATGAGATTAAGGATAGGGGCGGAAGGATTCACTACAAATGACAAGGAAGTGTGTGAGGAATTGAATAAGAAATTCCAGGAGGTCTTCACCTTAGAACAAGGAGAAATTCCAGAGGTAAGTGAGGGAATAACTAACCAGGAACCACTGGAAGATTTTGAGATTACCAGTGGGGAAGTAAGGAAGTGTTTACTAGAGTTGGACGTGACAAAGGCTATAGGCCCAGATGGAATCTCCCCTTGGGTTCTAAAGGAAGGAGCAAGAGAACTGAGCCTACCACTCTCCATAGTGTATAACAAATCACTGGCAACAGGGGAACTGCCAGATATTTGGAAAGCAGCTAACGTAGTCCCGATATACAAGAAAGGGGATAGACAGGAGGCACTGAACTACAGGCCAGTGTCCCTAACCTGCATACCATGCAAGCTGATGGAGAAGATTGTGCGAAAAAAACTAGTGGACCATCTGGAGCGAAGGAACTTTGTAACACAGCATCAACATGGGTTCAGGGATGGCAGGTCCTGCCTCACAGGGTTACTTGAATTCTACGACCAGGCAACAAAAATAAGGCAAGAAAGAGAAGGGTGGGCAGACTGCATATTTTTGGATTGTCAGAAAGCCTTTGATACAGTGCCACACAAGAGGCTAGTGCGAAAGTTGGAGATGCAGGCTGGAGTGAGAGGGAAGGTACTCCGGTGGATAGAGGAATACCTAAGCAACAGGAGACAACGAGTCTGTGTGAGGGGTGAGGTCTCAGATTGGCGAGACGTCACAAGTGGAGTCCCGCAGGGGTCAGTCCTTGGACCTATACTGTTTCTGGTATATGTAAATGATCTCCCAGAGGGTATAGATTCGTTCCTCTCAATGTTTGCCGACGATGCAAAAATTATGAGGAGGATTGAAACAGAGGATGATAGTAGGAGGCTACAAGATGACCTGGATAGACTGAGTGAATGGTCCAACAAATGGCTGTTGAAGTTCAACCCGAGTAAATGCAAAGTAATGAAACTAGGAAGTGGAAACAGGAGGCCAGGCACAGGATACAGAATAGGAGATGAAGTACTTAATGAAACAGACAGAGAGAAAGATCTAGGAGTTGATATCACACCAAACCTGTCTCCTGAAGCCCACATAAAGAGAATAACGTCTGCGGCATATGCGAGGCTGGCTAACATCAGAACGGCGTTCAGGAACCTGTGTAAGGAATCATTCAGAATCTTGTACACCACATATGTAAGACCAATCCTGGAGTATGCGGCCCCAGCATGGAGCCCGTACCTTGTCAAGCACAAGACGAAGCTGGAAAAAGTCCAAAGGTATGCTACTAGACTAGTCCCAGAACTAAGAGGCATGAGTTATGAGGAAAGGCTGCGGGAAATGCACCTCACGACACTGGAAGACAGAAGAGTAAGGGGGGACATGATCACAACCTACAAAATCCTCAGGGGAATCGACCGGGTAAACAAGGATGAACTATTCAACACTGGTGGGACGCGAACAAGGGGACACAGGTGGAAGCTGAGTACCCAAATGAGCCACAGAGACGTTAGAAAGAACTTTTTCAGTGTCAGAGTAGTTAGTAAATGGAATGCATTAGGAAGTGATGTGGTGGAGGCTGACTCCATACACAGTTTCAAATGTAGATATGATAGAGCCCAATAGGCTCAGGAATCTGTACACCAGTTGATTGACGGTTGAGAGGCGGGACCAAAGAGCCAGAGCTCAACCCCCGCAAGCACAATTAGGTGAGTACAATTAGGTGAGTACACACACACACACACACACACTGTTGCTGTTACTATTAGTTAGTAACAGTTGATTGACAGTTGAGAGGCGGGCCGAAAAAGCAGAGCTCAACCCTCGCAAGCTCAAATAGGTGAATACACACACATACACACACACACACACACACACACACACACACACACACACACACACACATGAAAGAAGGAATAGGGCAGAGATGATAACGATGTACAAGATACTAAGGAGGGAATGACAAAGAGAGATATACACAGAAGCAATGTACAAATTAAGTTACAATATAATGAAAGGACTTAATTGGAAACTGGAAACGCAGATAAGTCACTAGAGATGTCAGAAAGAACTTTTTCAGTCTAAGAGTCGAAAATAAGTGGAATACTCGAGACACAGCTTTACATGTCAATATAAAAACTAGTGAAGAGTGTCACTTCATTACTGTGGTCGAAAAAGGGGAGGCTGGGGCTTAGGAGCAAATGCTCGACCCCGCAAGCTCAACTAGGTGAGTACAACTAGGTAAGTGTACACACACGATGCACCCACTCTTCTTGGTGTATAACAACGAGTTTACTCTACGTCTGAACTGTGTTCAGACTTAAAGTAAACTTACTGGCTACCTTACCTTGAGGTTACCTTGAAGTGCTTCCGGGGCTTAGCGTCCCCGCGGCCCGGTCGTCGGCTGGTCAGTAGCAAGTGCCATGGCCTTAATAACCTTCTAAAGGTAGACAAGATTTTAGCTCAACACCATGGCAAAGAAGGGTAAATTAAATTGGAAATGCGTATATATTCTCAGACTTCAGATGGCGACTGGTGGAGTATAGGAACATACATTGTAAACAGTATGACTGAGTTACACACAGAAATCACAATAGCGTGATGCATCAAATGAACAAAATCCGTTGGTAAATCAAGATGATTTCCCCGGTTGCAATTTTTATATCATGTCGTATAGCTCAGTCGATTAAGGCAGCGTCTGGGATGTTCTCGGACGTAGGTTCGAATCCTCGTCACGGCCCTTGTGGATTTGTTTAGTATGACTGGGCTATTTTGACTGTGTCAGTCATATACAACATTAGGAAACATAAGTTCGGCCGTCAGCTCAGAACTTTTAGATGATACAGCAACACAGCTTCGCTCAGCTTTGGCAGTTGAGAGGCGGGACCAAAGAGCCAAAGCTCAACCTCCGCAAGCACAATTAGGTGAGTACTCATCCCAACCTGTCTTCTCGAATACGTCATAGCATTTTGACGTATAAAATTCCCAAAAGTCAATTATAGCGGTTCGCATAATTGACGTGTTTTCTATTCGTGGAGCCTAGGTTAGGTTAAGTTCGGGCAATTTAGTATACAGATTTAGTGGGGTTGTGAACGTTAGAGAGGATGGACTGACCACAAAGCCTATCACAACTCGACAGTTGAGAGGCGGGACCAAAGAGCCAGAGCTCAACCCCTGCAAGCACAACTAGGTAAGTACAACTCATACACCGCCCTAACCCCGCTTTATACAACTTATACATCGCCCTTAACCCGCTTTACATAACCCGTAATATATTGGAAATTAAATAATACATGTAACCCATACAGGCGACGACAATATGTGCAGTCATATCCCTCTCCCTGGTAGTGGTGGTCGCTGGAAGCATCTTGATTATTGATGGAGACATGCCCATACTCGCATACACATGCTTCACATTTGGTGGTAGGTGGCTTGTGTGTGTGTATGTGTGTGTGTGTGTGTGTGTGTGTGTGTGTGTGTGTGTGTGTGTGTGTGTGTGTGTGTGTGTGTGTGTGTGTGTGTGTGTGTGTGTGTGTGTGTATGTGTGTGTGTGTGTGTGTGTGTGTGTGTGTGTGTGTGTGTGTGTGTGTGTGTGTGTGTGTGTGTGTGTGTGTGTGTGTGTGTGTGTGTGTGTGTGTGTGTGTGTGTGTGAGTGTGTGTGTCTGTTTGACTTTCTTGTATATGTGCATTGTTAATATAATATATGTCTTTTACTTATCAATTACTTATCATGTATATCTTGAATCTGTCAGATATCGTATTCTAGTCAATTGTATCTACCTGATATCTCAATAATGTCTTTGCAACATTTAGTATCTATATATGTTGTTACACATTTTCATGTAAATATTGATTTATCTCACGTTTCCCCTCCTTCATGTTTCCCTTCCTCCTTACCTCACTTCCCTAGGGAGCGTGCTGGTGCTGTGTGCAGTGCTGGTGACAGCAAGTCTGAAGGTGAAACGGAAGGAGAGTAGTCCTGCAGACAGCTGCGATCCTCCACCTCCTTACAAAGCTGCCTGGAGACGCGACTTCTATGCTTCCAGGTGAGTGAGTGTTGAGTACCTGGGTGAATGATAATAGAGGGAGTTATTGACTGGGTGAGGGAGTGAGTAAACAAGTGAAAAAGAGTAAATACAATAGATTGTCTGCAAATTATGAAGATATACTGTTAGTATTACTTGGGTGAAATTAATCTCTCTCCATAACAAAATATCGTAGTTTTGCCTAATAACCACACTTTATTCCCAGGATGACCGTTGAGCACCAGCCAGCCTCTCTTCATCCTAGCGGATACACAGAGCAAGACGCCATTAACTTTTGTGGATTGTCTGTACGTCTCTCATCTTCCGAACCCACTCCACCGTCTCCCTCCCTCTCCTCCCCGACGATAAACCCCGCCACCTCTACCACAGTCTCCCCTACTAGCAACGCTACTGCCAACACCACCACCGCAGTCACTGCCAATAACACTCCAAGCACCACCTGCACCAACTCAAAACCTCTCTTCCAGTCTGCTGTATCTTCGGCTACAGAGCGGCCATCTTCGACACAAGCTGTCGCTACTATGATTCACAACCACATAAAGCGCCATCACCGTCACTCCAGCCGAGCAGTAAAGGCCGGCTCTCCGCTTCCCATCGTTCAGGTGGTTTCTAACAGGTGGGATGAAGATCTACCCAGCTATCATGAAGCCACGAGTTCCGTGTTGTGCCACTCAGCGTGCACTCAACCACATGACCCTAACCTGTGTGTCTGAGGATGATCTCGCCGCATTCAAGGGTCAGGGAGAGTGTAAGTGGAACAAGTGGGAGTGTGATTTAAGTGCCAGGGGAAAGAATAAGTATCTTATTCTAGTTCAAAATGGCCTAACAAAGACATTATAGCGCGTACGACCAATCATAAGGGCATTCATCACTTCTTTCCGTATTGTGTTTTCGAAAACGGCGTTTTCTTAAAATATAGATTAATATTATTTTATATTATAGTTTTCTGAACAATTAGGCCTAGGTTAGATTAGGTGGTTTGATTCTGTTGCCAATAATTTGTATTTTAAGCACATGGGGAAAAGCATTTATCGATGTAAGCCACATTCAAGTGAATTGAGCGAAGCATTATGCGAGATAAGTTCGAATGTAAACGGTTGTGAGTCACAAAATTCAAATTCAAATTCAAAAGTTCAAAAGTTCACGAGTAAAGTGTTTTCATTGATAAACAGGCTACTGTATTAACTAGCATTTAGTCAGTGCTTTGAGGATGGTCTGCTCAAACACACGCACGTACAGTAGCACAATTGCACGGCACCCACACTGCCGCCCATAGATCATTGAAAACAAATTCAGCGCGTCTCGCGGCCCCAACGAACCCTTGATCTTGAAACACGAATTCGAGACTGAAGCCACTGAGCATCAGACAACATCCTCACAGTTAGGATTCCATGAATAAATTTTGTTTAGCAATACGATGAGACTGAACTCACTTCTGTGGCCTTCCCCACCCCACATATATGCTCACTACCAACATACCTTCGTCCAGATTAAAAGTATTACAACCAGAATTGAATAGTGAGAGTTGTGGTTACTTTTAATACTTTTACTTCCAGTTGTGATACTTTTAATTTCTTGTGAGTGTGTTGGTAGTGCGCGTGCCAGGTCCCCATAAATACTCTGTAAATATGTATATGAATTAGTAACGGGAGGTTGTTAACGTGAAGGGGACAGGGGAAGGGAATTATCAGGAGAAAATGCCAAGCCATTACGACTATACAACCCTCGGAAGGGGGGTCAGGATGAGGATTTGGGATGGGACGGGGTGAAAGGAATGATGGGAACAGATGATTGCATATTTCTCATTTTGTGATATTAGTTCTTAAGCTATTTAATGAAATTATTTGTTTAGAGTAACTGGGTGTATTAACTATAGTAACTATAGGGTGTACAGATATTCATATATACGTTCAGCCAATTTTGGCAGATTATTCTTAACTTCGGGAACCGAAACGCTGTCCATAAAAGTCTTAATTAAGGTGGTCAAACCCAACGTCAAACAGCAGAAAAAGACTGAAGCATCCAGAAAAATGGTTGATGCAACCAGCAAACTACTGGACCAGACAAGAAAAGTCTGATACAACCAGCAACAAACAACGCAGCCAGTTCCCGCTCTTAGAAATAATTAATATCTTGAGAAAACTTTGCAGCAGAATGCTGGGTCGATCCCCCGACTTGTTCCAAAGATTTTCTCACGTTTATTGTAATTTCATTGTGTAATTAATAACTTATTGTAAATATATTTATACATAAATACAATAATGTATAATAAAATATAGATAAAATGCATGATGTATTTTTAATAATCAAACAAAAATTATTTCTTGATATAAATATTTGTTCATTCATTCCTATAAACGTATTGAATTTTTTTAATCAGGAGATAGGCTATTGTCGGAAAATTATAAATACTCGTACCTTGTAGTATCAGTTTAGGATCAACTGATAATTCAGAAAAAGTCGTACATATACATTTCTGGATATGAATATATGTCGAGAAGTGTCCTTAATCCCATATTGAAGTTTGGAATATATGCATCAAAACGCATTTTGTTAGATGGAGTGGCGGGGGAGTGGAGTCATTATCAGTGACACAGATGTAACTTATCTCAGCTTTACACTTTTGGGGGTACAGAGCCTATTACGTTGATACCTAGTGTTGCGTAGAAACCTCCAACACATTAAAATGGCTGGAAAGGATAACATTTGAACCAACGGTTCTGAAGCTTGATATACACCAAGGACAAAAAAATGTCACATAATGCACCACCAGAAACTAGTTTCAGGGAGCGATAATGTTATACTTTGGTACTCTCACAGCTTGGTACTTTCATGAATAATCCTCTACATCAACCGGTTTAATCTCGAATGTCAGGACTTCGGCTTAGGTAGCCTAAAAAATACCCTAAAAATGTACTAGCGTCATCTTTATAGCTCTCACGATTAATTTTCGAGAAAAGATGTTTTTTTAAAAAAAATTGATATCGGTATAATTTAAGGCTTAAAAATCTTAGAAATAAAAAAACCATCATGTCAAGGATTCATGTCGTTTAGTTGTTACATACAGACTGGACTAGAGCAATGAACAATGCTTTAATGACCCCATTAGTGCTGTTAACACCCTATTGACTAGTGCCGACATACCAACTCACTCCTTTTATGATAAATGGCTGAGAAAAAATGCCTACAATCTCATTAAACTCAACATTCCTTTTAAGTGTAATCTACCTGTCTCTGATTTTCCTCTTTATCTGTACCCCACCATTTAAGTATCATACACACCTTTCACCAAGAAAGATAATGAGAATCTTGCTCTTCTCAAAGCTGTTACACTGGAAACAATTGCCTCCTCCATCGAGAACTTAAGATCTCACGAGCACTGTGTCTACACCGACGGCTCAGTCCAATCCTCTACTGGACGGACTGCAGCAGCATGTAGGTTTTATAGAAATAATATTTGCACAAAGACTGTCAGTGTCGGGTTAAACAACTGGCTGACCTCCACACAAGCAGAACTAACAGCATTACAACTAGCTATCAGTACACTAAAAACCATTGGAGGAGGAATAATATTTTGTGATTCAAAGTCTGCTCTTCAAGCAATCGAAAACTTCTGGAAGATCGACAGCAAGAACCTCATACTACCAATTATAAATGATCTAATTGCTGCACAGAGTAAAGGGTCTCGAATCTCTTTTATATGGATACCTTCACACATAAATATAACCCATCAAAATGAGACAGACATTGCAGCCAAATTAGTGTGCAACAAAGATGAAGTTGAATTAAATCTAGGTATTCCCATCTCTACTGTCAAAACTGTATTGGTCCAAACACTCAGGTCTGATAGGAAATAAATTAGACTCCCAACGACCTGAAAGTACTAGTATTAAAAGCTATGATTTGTTCAGATCTGAAACCTATATCTATGGGCAGCACAAAACGTCCACCAGACTGTGCGACACAGTGGTTGCAAGGATCAGGTTGGGTTACCGTTACCTGTGGCAGGTGGCTACAGGTGACGATCTCCCAATCCTGAGCACTCCAGGTGCAAACTCTGTGAGCAGGAACTGCGGCATGATCTCCCACACTACATCACCGAATGCCCAGTTATTAGACCTTTCAGACCAGTTGGCATGAGGTACCTGGAGCTTTGCAATTACTTTATTCACTCTCATATTCTTGAGGCTATCCTCATATTGCACACAAAATTTGCCAGTGCAGGCTACTGAACATATGGCCTTGTATGACTAACCATCCTGCGAGATGGGGACTTTTATTACCACTGCTACCTTATACACTCTTGTGTTGATGACATCCTCAAAATGCACCCAGAGTCTGTCAGTGCAGACTGCCTATCACATGCCTCTAAATGACTAATCATCCTGTGTGATGGGGATTTTTTAGCATCACCTAGTTCGCTTTTTTGACACACTGTACTCCACTTCATATAGTCTAGGGCAGCTGCACAAATGCAGATGTACCTCATGTATAAAAAAATATGACCCCACTAACCGATCATCTGAAAAACCAAACTTCATTAGCGTCATCTAGTTACTGTAAATCGCACTGGTGAAACATGCAAACTGCAACTGTTCTGAGAAAATATATATCACAACAGTTCACTAGAACCTGTGTTTCCCAAATTCCTTCCTTCCTTTCTTTACTATGAACTCTCTGGACGTGGGTGGGGTCAGAGAGGCGGCCAGGCAAGGACTGATTGTCCATTCTCACGTAGCACAAATATGAGAACAATTAGAAAGCTGCGGAAGATACGGAAACGAACGCAAAAGAAGCTCGGTAAATTGATATACTCAAAGAAGGGCTTACGTTGCAGAGCGCGGAGGACCGGAGTGATGTCTTGGCAAGGATGGAGGTGCTGGAAGGGAGGCAGTCAAGGAAGGAGCCGACGACAAGGACAATAAGTGCCGTGTTGCCTGCCTCTGACCACGACATGGCGTCCAGCGGCGCGGGAAGACGACCCTTCTGGGTGTTCTGTACGAACCGCCGCGTTCCTAGGAAATTTTCCTTTGTTCAGGTTACGAAATGTTTTGCAAATATTTCTACATATAAAATATACCCAGATGGACGGTTTATAATATTGTTATTAAGGTTATATTTGAAAATATACGGTGAATTTAAATATTTTTTGGGGGGGTAAATAGTTCTTTTATGAAGAAATATATATATATATATATATATATATATATATATATATATATATATATATATATATATATATATATATAATAAATATATATATATATATATATATATATATATATATATATATATATATATATATATATAATATAATAAATATATATATATATATAATATAATAAATATATATATATATATATATATATATATATATATATATATATATATATATATATATATATATATATATATTCCAATATGTACTGGAAGTATTTGGATTATGTTATACCGTATGCTGTGTGTAGAATGGGCTTTATCGGGGGCTGTGCTCAGAATGATAGATATCACATCACAATATTACAACCTTGTTAGGCTATCGTCAGCAATTGACTTGATGGCTATATTTAAATTTCACCTGACACTTGTAAATTAAACATTATTTATTCCATCCTTTCCATTATATAACACCATTTTTCAAAATTTGCTTCTGCAATTGCATATTTTTGTTTATCAAATACATACCCACTTATCATGCACAAGACTTGGCGAAATATTTATCTAAAAGTACTGCAAACCATATTTTAAAACGTAAATATGATGAATATATTGTAGATATATTCTCTGGTATATGTTTATATGATATTTGGTTGAAATAAATGAAGACCATTGTTCTAGTGCAGAAGGAACACCTGTTGGAACTTTCCCGGACGATGATCTACATATGACATGTGTGTGTTCTTATGTAAACGAAATGTCGCATTTGCACACCTGGTGTAGTGGACACCTTATGGAAACACCTGACTTGGTGATACGAAGGTAACGACGCTCTAAAACTGATGGTTCGTAGGTAGTGAAGAACACTTAGAGGTGTCACAGTGTGTGATCCAAGCCTTGTGTTCACAGCTGGACTACCTGCTCCACTTGGGGTACGCCTCGGTCCGCCTGGCGCCTTCTCTCCTTCACCACACCGTATTGCTGCTGTACGCGTGAGTATAATAGCGCGGTGAGGAAGTAGTGAGGGGAAGGAAGGGGGTCAGCAGGGGAAAGATGAGATAGATGAGGGAGGGGAGGGTAGGGCGGAGATAGATATGGAAAAGTGATGGAGAAGAGAGATGAGGAGGTGGAGAGAGATTAGAAGGGGGGATATAATGAGAAGGGATATAGATGGGGAAGCTAGGGATAAATTAAGAGAAGGGAGGGTAGAGATGGGGAGGGAAGAGTTGAGATAGATGGGGAGGGGTAGAGACAAACTACATCCCCTCTCCCACACACTCCGCTAACCACCTGCTCCTCCCCGCTCCCTCTGGACAGGTATACCCTTCACTTGGTCTACCACATGCTGACCTTCGTCCTGGGGAACATCAGTATCTTTATGGGCATTATCGACGCAATTCTTACATTTTGTGTGAGTATATTGTTTAATCTTAATCACTCAGGTACGGACATTGTAGATATACGAACAATCGAATTCATAGACGGGTAGACAGACGGCTGAACAAATATATAAACGGGCGGATATATAAGTGGTCAGATATATGGACGGGCATAAACGTGAAACATATACATATGTATACTGTAGATGGTCAAGAAAACAATGACAGACAGGCAATCGCCTAGTACAAAATACGGTCAATAATCCTTGCCTTATCTCTATCAACAGGCTGTGTTCAGCTTAGGTCCTCTGCTGCGCCTATGTCTGCTGTTATTGTTTTTCCTGCTGCGTCTGCTGCTGCTGCTGCCCTTACAGGGGCCGACGCTTCTTCCGCTCCTGTTGATGCTGTCGAGACTTGTGAGAAACTGAACATTGTGCTAGACCAATCCAAGTGGCGGACACAGAAGAGTTACACTCTAGAGCCTGATTATTGTATGTTCTAAGTCAGGTGGGAGTCACTGCAGCCGGCGCAAGTCGCTACAACTAGCCAGAAAGCGACACAACTAGCCAGTGTCCGACATAATTAGCCAGAAGCCTCACAACTAGCGACGCTACAGCTAGCCAGTAGACACTACAACTAGACAGACGCTGCTACAACTAGCAAGAAGCTGCTACAACTAGCCAGAAGACGCTACAACTAGCCAGAAACCAACATAACTAGCGAGCAGTGTTGCCAGATTGGGCTACAAATA